AATGCTACATTAGGTGCTGTTTGTTCGATCTCTAAATTATTGTATGCCTATATAACAAATCTTTGGGGATAGTTTCATATGTTTGAGCATTGCTAGTGAAGTTAATCTTCTTTCCTTAAACAATTAAACTCTTATTTGGATCTCTAAAATACAGATTATTTTGTGTGTGTTTTAAATGCACGTGTTACAGACAATATAATTGCAAAGAGTGATTATACATTGGCTGCCATGTTTACCTTCACATCTACTTCAAAATAATAATGATGAGGGGTTAAATCATTTCATTGTTATTCTCTACTAGTTTTTATATATAACTAGACAAATAATTTGCTACATTTTCATCTTTATTTTTTTATTTGTTGCTTTTAGATATACATGACAGGCATATTTTGACATATTATACATACATGGAGCACAACACATTCCAATTAGGATCCCATTCTTGTGATCACACACAATATGGACTTACACTAGTTGTGTATACATTGATGAGAAAAGGACAGTTATGTTCAATTCATTCTCCTGTCTTTTCTATTCTCTTCACCCTCCCTTCCTTTCATTCCACTTTGATTAATCCAATGAACTTCTATTCTTTCCCTCCCTACCCTCCCTTATTGTAGGTTAACATCCACATATTTATTTTTATTTTTGTTTTTAGATACACATGATAGTAGAGTGTATTTTGACATACAAGTTCTTTTTTTTTTTTAAGACTGGGGATTGAACCTGGGTGCTTTATGCCACCAAACTACATCCCTAGTCCTTTTAATTTTTTTTTTTATTTTGAGACAGGTTCTCACTAAATTTCCCAAGCTGGGCTTGAACTTGCTATCTTCTTGCTTCAGCCTCTTAAATTTCTGGGATTACAAGTGTGTGCCACTGTGACCAGATACATACATATATGTGTGTGCACATGCATGTGTATGTGTTAGAATAAGAATAAAAAATATATGAGTATATTCTTATATAAGTGTATATATACATATATATATTCTTAAAGTTGTATAATACTTAATTTAATAATTTTTCAGGTTATAAAAATCTCACAGGCAACAGAGAAAGGAAGAAAATACTCAAAGTCAAAATAGAAAATATTGGAGCTTTTCCTATTAAAATCAACAATGCAGAAAGGACAACTCAGTGTAAGAATTTGAGGCTGCCAAGATAAAAATCTTTGAACCATTTCAAAAAGAAAACATGTATATAAACTTCTTTTAATCTATTTTTAAATTGGTGCATGTTAATTACACAGATTGATGAGTTTCATTGTGGCATATGGTACATGCATGTAACATAATTCGATCAAGTTCACTCCCCAATAACTCCTCTTAATTTCCCCTCTTCCATCACCCTTATTTCCTTCCTATACTCTATCAGTCTTCCTTCTACTTTAATATTTTTTTCCTCCCCCTTTTTTTTCTCACTAATTTCCACATATGAGAGATAACACCTGGTACTCCACTTTCAGTCTGGCTTATTTTGCTTAACATGATGTTCTCCAGTTCCATACATTTTCCAGCAAATGATATCACTTAGTTCTTCTTTATGGTTGATAAAACTTTGTGTGTATGTCTGTATGTGTATGCATATGTGTGTACGTGTAAGTGTGTATCACATTTTCTTTATCCGTTATTCTATTGAAAGACACCAAGGCTGATTGTTTGACTTTCGTGAATTGTGCTGTGATAAACATAGGTATTCATGTGTCCTTAAGTATGCAAACTTTCATTCATTGGATAAATACCAATGGTGGTATAGCTGAATCATATGGTAATTCTTTGAGAAACCACCATACTGATTTCCACAGTGGCTATACTAATTTATATTCCCACCAAAAATGGACAAGATTTCCTTTTTCCCTGCATCCTTACTGGTCTTTATTATTATTTGCATTCTTGAAGGTTGGCATTCTAACTAAAGTGAATCTCAGTGTTTTTATTTGCATTTTCCTGATGGCCAAAGATGTTGAACATTTTCCATGTAATTATTGACCATTTGTACTTCTTTTGAGATGTTTCAGTTCAGTCAATTTGCCCACTTATTGATTTGGTTATTTGTATTGTGATGCCTTCAGCTCTACTCTTTTTGATCAGGATTGCTTTGGCTATTCTGGGTATTTTGTCTTTTAAGAATTTTGTAATTGCTTTTCCTAGTTCTATGAATAATATCATTGGTATTTTTATGGGTATTGCTCTATAGATCAACTATTGGTAATATGTCCATTTTAACAATAATTATTCTCCCTATCCATGAATATGGGAGATTTCTCATATTCTGGTATCTGCTTCAATTTCTGCATTTCAAAATTTTCTTTATACAAGTTTTGCACCTCCTTTGGTAGATTTAGTCTTAGGTATTTTTAATCTATTATAGATGTAATTATTTTTAAAATTTCTTTCTTAGAAGATTCATTATTGGTATATAGAAAAACTATTTGTTGTTATACATCAATTCAGTATTCTGCTTCTTTTCTGAATTTATTCATCAGGGTTAAGTGTCATTTGAACCAATGTTTAGGGTCTTCTAAGTATATGATTGCAGCTGCCAATAGGGATAATTTGACTTCTTCCTTTCCTATTATATCCCTTTATTTCTTTCCCTTGCCTAATTGCTCTGGCTCAAATTTCAAGGACTATAGTGAAGAAGAGCCTTGATGTCTTTCAAAAACAGCAGCTATACTTATCTCAATCCTGAATTTGAAAAAAAAATGCTGTTTTTCTCCATTCAGTATGATGCTGAGTTTGGTTTTGTCATATATAGCCTTTATTATGTTGAAGGATTTTCCTTCTATACCTACTTTCTTTATGGACTTTATCATGAAGGAATGTTCAATTTCATCAAATGCTTTTTCTGTATCTATTGAAATGATTATGTGTTCTTTCCTTGATTATATTATGTTCTATACTACATTTATTGATTTGTATACATTGAACCATCCTTGCACTTCTGGAATAAAACCAATTTGATCATGTAATATGTATTTTTTAATAATGTTTGAATTTGGTTTGCAAGTATCTCTTTCTTTCAGTTAGTTTGGCTAAGTTTTTACCAATTTGTTTATTTCCCCCCCAGAGAGAGAGAATTTTTTTATATTTATTTTTTGCTTTCGGCGGACACTACATCTTTGCTTGTATGTGGTGCTGAGGATCGAACCCGGGCTGCACACATGCCAGGCGAGTGCACTACCTCTTCAGCCACATCCCCAGCCCCAATCATTTGTATTTTTATTTTACTTTTTATTTCATTAATTTTAGCTCTGATGTTTATGATTTATTTCACATTTCTAGTTTGGGTATTGTGTTGTTCTTGTTTTTATAAGTCATTGAAATGTATCATTAGCTTGTTTCTTTGAGATCTCTCTGATTTTTTTAAATGTAGGCACTAATATATATAAACCTCCCTCTTAGAACTGCCTTTGCTGTATCCCATAAATTCTGATATGTTTTATTAATATTTAGGATTCCAAAAATTTTTAAACCCATCTCCACAGTTTCTTCAGTGATCCACTTATCATTCAAAAGTAACTCTTTCATACATTTGTATAATTTCTGTGTTTTTTCATTTTGATTTTTAATTTTATTTCATTCTGATCTGAAAGGATGCAAGAGATCATTTAAAATAGCTAAGGTTTGCTTTTTGGCTTAATACATGATCACTTTTGGAGAAAGTTCCATGAGTTTCTGAAAAGAATATGTATTAAGCTTTTTTGGGATGAAATATTTTGTAGATTCTTGTTAAAGTTATTTGGGCTATATTACAGTTTAAATCTGATGTGTCTTTCTTGATTTGGGGTCAGAATGACTTGTTAGGGAGAAATGTGTAGTGAAGTACTCCACTATTGTTGTATTGGGACCTGTCAGTCCCTTTGTACCAAGTAATGTTTGTTCTATGAAATTAAGTGCAGTGATAGTTGGGGAATAAATAATTATATTTTTGTTAGATTGTTTCCTTTACCAATTGTTTCCTTTATCAAATGTTTTGACATTGTTGGCTGTTCTATTTTTGGCATGAAGTCTGCTTTGTCTGTATTATGAGATTAGCTAATCCTGCTTGGTTTTGGAGTCCATTTGCATGGGATATCATTTTGCATCCTCTCACTTTTCAGTCTCTGAACATCTTTGCCTATGAGATGTGTTTCTTGGGACAACATACAGTTGGGTCTTGCTTTTCAATCCAGTATTCTATTCTATATCTTTTAATTGGAGAATTAAGACCATTTGAACTTATTATAAAGAATTAAGACCATTTGAACTTGTTATTAGAGAGGTATGTACTACTGTCTGTCATTTTATTTCATTTTTCATATTTGAATCATGACTAATTCTCATTTGCTTATCTATTTTTCTAATGGAATTTATTCTTTTCCCTAATCCCTTGGTTATTTTTATCTTCCTCTTCTGTGTGTATCTTCTCCCTTAGATCATTCCTTGGAACTTTGATCATTGTTTTTCAATATTGTTTAGTTGTCACTGGACCTGTATTTTATTTATTTATAGGTGGTGCTGTAACTTGAACCCAGTGCCTCACACATGCTAAGCAAGCATTCTGCCACTGAGTTGCAACCTCAGCCTTTGATCATTTTGACAATCAACTTTTTGAAATTTTTCCTGACATTTCTTCTACTTCATTGTCTATGGGTTCACCTATTGGAAAGTTATAAAATTTTGGAGACATGTTTCCATATTTCTGTTTTGATATTTGAATGTGGTGAGCCGTTTCTGTGAACGGGGGCCGCCATTACAAGATGGCGCTGATAAGCGCCATGGCCTGTGATAAACAACTCCTTGTTTTGGGAGAGTTGGCACGTAGCTGTAAAACACCCTATGAGAAAGATCCACGTGGCAGTTGTGCATTGGGGCTTGATGTGCTTTATCAAGGCTGGGGCGCTCGGGTGAAGTAGTAGTGGTAGAAGTAGAAGTAGAAGTAGTAGTAGTAGCAGTAGCAATAGTAATAATAGTAATAATAATAATAATAATAATAATAATAATAATAGAAGCTTCCAGAGACACATAATTAAAGGCCTGAATAAACTGCTGAGAGAAGAATCCTGTGTCGTGTCCTCCTTGCTGGCGAGGGGTCGCGGCATTTGAATATCCGCTGGGCTAGATATATCTTCTACTCTTATGTCAGAGACTTTTTTAGTGAATTACTTTGTCTTTACCATGTGCCCTAGGCTGTGGGTAAATCTCAGCATAAAAGCAACTTCTCAACATATTCACACTACTGTGATCAATCCCCAACCCTTCTTTGAGAAATCATAATAATCTTGAGTAAGTGACCATTTGAGAGTAAACCATATACTAATAATCCATAAAAACTTATAGATAATGATCTTTGTAGCTCCACTCATCCAAAAGTGAAAATGGGAATAATACTATAGTAGGTTGTAAAGTTGGATATTGAAGAAAGTAAAATTAATATTTAACTTTGCCGAGTAGCTGCTTTTATTCCAGATTGGAGGAGCAAACATTTGTATAGCCTGCTTTTGATCCACCATCTTGATCTTTCAATCTCTGGAAATTTTTTTATATAAAAGCTCTATCTTTAAGTAACTACTGGGTATGGAATATATCTACAAAATATTAAAGTTTATCGCATAAATATAATCATCTTTTTGAAATCTGAAATTAGTTCATGAAGACATCTCAATGGAACAGAGTTTAGAAATTCAGACACACTAGAAATTTGGTTTATGACAAAGATGACTTCTGGAATCAGTGGAGAAAGTTGAGTTAATCAGTGGAAAGGACAACTGATTAATTATTTTTGGACAAAAATAATGTTGGATTTCTCTCAATCCTTGTATAAAAAGAGAAAATGTTAATAATAAAACTGTGAAATAATAAGTGAATAACAAGTGAAACTGTGTGTGTGTGGAGGGGGTGCAGATGGCAATAAGGAAGTGGGATTATATGGGAACTCCATACACTTCCTGCATAATTTTTTCATGAACCTGAAACTGATTTAGAAAATAGCTAAAAATTAAAAGTTAAAAATAAAAATTAAGTGAGTTAAAAATTAAAAGTCAATTAGGAAAAAATGGAGGACAAAATAAATAACAACTTTGGCAGG